TTATTTAAAATCATCTTCTTCAGCCCATCTGTTATATGTTGTTTTTAAACATTTTTCATCTTTTCTCTGTGTTTTTGTACAATAGTGTTGTTTTGCTTGGCGTTCCTATGGTGGATTACCACGTGGTTTCTAAGATGTAAAGAATACGTAGGAAGCGTCTTCTTATTTAGTCAAATCACATTTATATAAAACATTTAAATCTAAAAACTGTTTACTTAAAGTTTTAAAAACAAATTTGAGACAAATATACTTAATAATAAAACCTAAAAACAAACGCTAATTCCAGTAGAAAGAAGAGGATTCAGGGGGCAAAAGAACCCACCTGAGTCTTTAGTGAGAGGCTGAAACAGAGTTTCACACAAAGGCTTTGAGGAAGAGAGGAGAGATAGCAGTGAGATAACAGTGATCACTTGACTCAGCAGAATGATTGGTGGGGTGAAGTGATTATACACACACAATCATACACACACGCACAGGCACAAAGATAAGTTGTGAAATCCAGGACAATAATCTCAAAGTGGTGCTGCTCTCAGGCACATTTTTGGTCATTATATGGTCCCTGATTACGCTGTATAATTTTTTTATTTAATTTTTTTACCTTTCTCCAGCTGAGGACAGTGTTTTCCATAAGGGTGCGTCTACTTGTCTTCCCATGATGAAAGGGAAAGTAGATTACATGGTCACTGATAGGCATAGGGCCAAGACAAATGTGGTAATTATATTAATTTCCTAAATGATTATTTATGACTCTTTCTGAATCAAATGATCACACACACGTCAAGGTTCAAAATTCAAGGTTGTCTCAACTGTTCATCTACAGGAAATTTGTTTGGTAGCAAGCGTTCACATATTTGAGTGAGCAGCCATGGGATGTGAAGAGTACATTTTTCAAAGAGAGCACTTCCTGTTCTCAAAAGTCTTTTCTTTGCTTCATTCCATAATGTATCCTGTCCATTTTAAGAACAACAGGATAAACATGAGAAAACAGGACAAAAAGATTCTGCAATTAGATTTTTATCACTAAAACAAATTTCTAATTTTTTACAGCCTCATTTATTATTTAACCTGTCCTTGTTGACTTGTTGAGCCTCCTGTCATCTGAGGACCTGATTATTTATTAACAAATAAAGATCAGTACAGTGAGAGGAAAAAACTCAAGGAGATTTCACATGAGAGATTTCTATATTTGTATTTGTCCTTGTTATTGTTATTTCTATGTATCCACCAATTCAGAAATGTTGTAACAAAATTATATGACAGCCACATTGCTTTAGTGAACAGAGCCGTCAGTCAATAAAAATCATGTAAAGACGAATCTATTAATGATGAGGATCTAAATACCCACATTCAAGTACTGACAGGGACTTTAAACACTTGCCTCGAGGCAACAATTTGGATTTACAAATTAACACACAAACTGTATGTATTCGGACTGTGGGAGGAACCAGAGTACCCAGAGAGAGAACCCACACGAACACAGGAGAACATGCTCCACACAGAAAAGGTCCCAGCCAGGTGGTGGAGTCGAACTAGGACCTTCTTGCTATGAGGCAACAGTGCTAACCACTGTGCCGTTGTGAAAAGAAAAAAGCAGGTGAAGATCAGTCTATTCATGATGAAGATAAAAATACGCACCAAGCATAATGAAGCTAATTGTGTTTGACTGTGGTTATTTCACATCTAATAACAGTCAGAGTGTTAAATACATCCTGAGAGATGTAAACAGGGTTGTAGCACATGACTCTGGAACCCCTCTTTGAGAGCTCTTCTGTCTTTCTTGATCCATAACCATGTCATAGCCATATCTCTCACACGTGTTGCTTTCTGTTCAAGCTGCTATCAGTACAAATGATTGTTATTGTATCAACTCACTTTGTTTCACACCATTTGGAGAAGGGACGCTCATGCTTATTCACCATCTGGCTGTTTGGAAATAAAGGATGGTTGCTTTTCATGCCTTTTAGCTGTGATGGCTCATTTTGACATGCGGTCACATCTGGGAATTGGCTTACTGACTGTAAGAACGGCTGCCTGCATAAACCATTCAGTCAACTGTGCTCCTCTCACCTTTATTTTAAAATACATTTGTTAACAGCTAACTTTCCTCAGTTAACTTTTTCCTCATTCACAGTGCTTATACTAAAAACATGACTCAAAGTGCATATTAGCAGTCACCTATATATAATTTATTAACATTCCCAAAAGCTGATTATTTTGAGTAAGAAAATGTTAAACAAAACCAAATTTTCATTCTAGGATTGCAACAGGCCTCCTGCTACTGAGGCCTTGCGTATTCAATCCGACTCCTCCCTCCAACTTAGGCCCTTGTGTACATAAATATATGGCTTCTTAAAAAGCTTTCTGTTGATTTTGGACTCTTCTCTGGCAAGCATTTCTCAGAAAAAATAAGGAGGCTGTCATTAACTTAAATATAGCAAAGCAGAAACTGCAACCGACTTAAGAGATACTATGTAATACTATTTATTCCAATAAGAAGTGACAAGAAAGTATCAAAAAATGCAATAAATCAGATTGGGTCAGCCAAGTTTGATGCACAAGTCCTGCTTTCCAAGAAGCCAGTATGACGATGAAAATCAAGTTTTTAAAGCCAGTCACATAAATGCAAATAAACTGAGAAATACATGCATGATGATCAGTGTTAAAGTTCACTTGGCATCATTTGAAATATTATCAGATGAGAATTTGATAAGAGGAACCTGAGGTAAGATTATCAGGTTAAACAATATATACAACGTGCAAATATCGTGTTTCAACTCAGACGCCAAGACTGATAATAATAACATAATAATAATAAGTGTTATAAATGAGCAATTTATGTCTTCCAACAAAGAAACACAGAAAGAGGTCATATATATATTCTCATGCTCACACTCACTCGAAATTAAAGATTCAGTACAGACACTAACAAAGTTTTAGGATTTTTAAAAAGTTTTTTAAAATGCAGTCATCGTCAGATCAGATTTTTAAAAAATAGAACGTTTTTAACCCAAAAAGTCTCCTCGCTGCATCTTTGACCGAGATATTTCTCTATTCTAGTGTCTGTAAGTGTCTTGCACTTACAAATATGAGAATAATGTTAATAATTTTATAGATTGATATATAATTTGCTTTATAAGAATGTTGTCAGATTTGTGTCACTCTCACTCTGTAGTGAATGAAAGAATGAATGCAGGGGGAAAATATCCTGGCTCATAAAACATTTAACCTTTATTTAAATGGATGCATCAGCATATGGCTTTTCTTTCTGCAGGAACTCGTGTTACCAGCTGTACTTCTTGTCATCCTGAAGCCACCGGCTCGCAGTCATGTGAACAAGGCCGCGCACTCGCTTGTGTCTGTAAAGATGGCTTTGTAGGTGAAGGCCTCACCAGCTATGACCCCAAAATCTGCAGTGACTCTTCTTGCTGTAACCGAGGTTACCACTGGTCCGCAGAGAAGGGCTGTGTGAAAAATGAGGAGTGTTCCTTCTCAAACTCACCATGCACATCATTTCAGATCTGTTACAACACACCGGGATCATATAAATGTCTGGAGCTTTCCTCCAACACCAGACCGTCCGTCTCTTCCCAATCTGTGCTGATTCCCTGTGGAAACACAGTTTGTCCTTCAGGCATGGACTGCATCAATTCCCAATGTGTGGACCCTGTCAGAACTACATCACATTGAATGATGACTGCCGAAAATATTTTGGATATACACTGTGATCGAGGTAAAAACCTGGGAAGGCTGGTATCGCCTGTTTCTGGACCAAACCAGTGCTCGTATAGTAACATGAGGTGGAGATGAAGCCAGCCGTGGAGGTGTGCAGGTGGATAGCAAATGAGCAACAGCTTTTAACTTTCCACAAGTACTCATTTATTTTAAATATCAAAATTAAAAGTGCTAGCTCTACCACAAGTTACTTGGGAGCACACTAGTCCGCGTACACACGGCGGAATCCATAACAGAGATAGGGGGTTACAACTGTTACAGTATTCCAGAGTGGTGTGTGGAATCAAACAGGCGTGGAACCGATGCGCCTTTGTGGATAACACAACCTCATCCCACATGGTCAGGTGAAATTGTAAATCGCACTGTGTGCAATGTTTGGAGTGGCAGCTGCTGCTACTACCAGTCACAGACCATTCATGTCAAACATATGCAAACTACTATGTCTACAAACTTGTGGAACCACCCACATACCAACTTGCATACTGTGAAGGTAATGTTGGACTTTAAATATGATTAACCTGTTACTGATTCAGTTGGGTTAAAGGCTTCTGAGTGCATGATTATTATTATCGTCAACAAAGGTCAATATAACAGATGCTAGAGTTCCCCAAACCACACCTGTTCCACCTACCACAACTTGAGTGGACAACAGCACAGAAGTCGAGGGGAGTGGTCCGTCTGGTTAATGGTAGCAGCATCTACTCTGGCAGCGTGAAGACCTTCCACAGTGGACAGTGGGGCACAGTGTGAGATGCTTTGTGGGACCTGAATGATGCCAACGTGGTGTGCAGACAACTGGGCTGTGGAAGCGCTCGTTCAGCACCATAAAATGCAGCTTTTGGACAGGGCAGCGGACCCATCTGGTTGGACAATGTAGGATGTTTTGGAAATGAACCACAACTGTGGTCACCATGAAGATGCCCGTGTTGTATGTGAACGAAGTTAAAGTTCGTACAGACTGAAAACTTTAAATAATGCACTTAAAATGTTAAGTTATGAATATGGTTTGTGGAGATACTCATCTTGACCTCATTTGGTATTTTCATTGCTGGAATGTGCAAACATCAAGTTATGACTCTGGCTGACTCTAATTGTTGTACCATATAAATTATTGACTCAAGCTTTGTGGATGTGTCAGTTCAGTTTGAATGTGACCTTCTTTTTCTTCTTAGATTAATAAGTAACTCCTTTGATGTCATATCAATAAGTTCTCTATCTTACCCACTTATATATTTCACCATCAATCACTTCAATTTGTCCTTTGCACACAGAAACAGGCCTATAAATTCCCATCCTTGCTGTGAGCTTAAGAGCTGGATTCTCAGAGTGTCTCCAGGGTAAGTACAGACACATCAGAAGTTATAGATTTTATGCAGAATAAGATGACATACGGGTAATAAGTTTTAAAACATCTCATTGGTCTTTTTCATCTAGTTTGAGTGGTGGATGTGATCAATTATGGGAGCACCTGCTGGACTGTTTTTACTCATACTTGTGCATATTTTCACAGGAAGCCCTTCAGGTAAATAATTTCTAGTTAGACATAAGCTCACTGTGTGATTCACTGTCTTTTCCTTTTTCAAATACGGATGGGATCTAATTAAGACACTAATGAAATATTTGCTCCAGACAAATTATAACGAAGTCAGGACAGATGTGAGGACAGATGTGCAAATCACAAATATGAACATGTTAATTTTACTCATTTAACTTTGATATGGAAACTACTATCTCTACAAACTTGTGGATCCACCTGCATTGTACTATACATACTGTGCAAGTAATGTTACACTTTAAATATGATGAATCTGTAACCGATTCAGCTGGCTCACTGATTTCTGAGTGCATCATCATCATCATTATTATTATTATCATTATTATTATTATTATTATTATTATTATTATTATTATT